ACAAATTTATTTTTAAAAATCAGTTGATTAATTAATTGACTTCTAAATTTTAAATAAAAGCATCCAATTTTCGCATTTCAAAACTTTTTAAAAATATATTGTACAAACAACATTACATGAACATGACTTCAAAATACCAAACGTAAAAGTTACGCTCATACAAATTGTCTGGTGTTTTCCATCTACATAGAACCGTGTTTTAAAGCAACTTTTTTAAGTCCTGAGTCTTGACATTGACTTAATTAACCACAGCCAAGGAATAAATTAAATAGAGGTTTGGGGAATTAATGAAGATTAATCTCTTGATGTGCAGTAGTCAATACTTTAACCTTGAAAATGCATTGCACAATACATATATCATTGTCCTACGTTAATATCACAAACATCCTGAAAATTCAGAGTGTTGGGACAATGGAAGAGGAGAAAACAAATAATATGGACAATCTAGGGAGTTGTTTGGATTATTTATTCCAATATAACTAATATTTAATGCGTGATATTTAATGATTAATTGTTATTGTTCTTATTTATATTTTAAAATATTTACTACTGGAAAACGTGGCACATGCGATAATATTATATTCAATAGCCATATTTCTGTCGAAAATGTGTACATAATCGACAGAAAGATTGACGAAGATGTAAGATTGACGATGATAATGGAAACTTCTTGTTTAATCGATAGTCTTTATATTTGACAACTTTTTTGTCGAATATATCACGATATTCGACAGAAAATGTCTGACGAATGTGTTTATTTGTCAGAAATTTTTTGTCGAATATGAATGGCAGCATAATTGGCGCCAGTATGGTTGGCAACGACATCGTTTCCTCTGTATATTCGGCAGCTTTGGCTGTCAAATATACTGTTTCATATCACACCTGCATCTCCTTTCTTCCCCATTTCTGCTTTTCCCTCTGCAGCGGTAGATCTGGTTTCTTCTCCGGCGAAGCTTGCTGTCATTGTTCTTCTGTAGCACCCCTTGTTCTCCGCTCCGCGCCGATGCCGGTGAGTTCGCCCCTCTCTCGGTTCAGCCTCCAGCGTCTCTAAGCAACCACACCATGTGGAGGAGGGTTCCTGGAGAAGCTGCAACACAGATTTTTTTTTTTTTTTTTTGGTTTTACTTGTTTTTTCCTTGGATTTGGGTTTACAATACCCCATTTTTCGTTTTTTGTAGGTTGAAATC